TCCCATTCCAGGTCCTGCGAGACATCATCGTACTAAGCCTGGCTGCCCACCACCCCCACAACTTCACTGTGGAGGTCCACGCCGCCTACCAGAAGCAGGTGAGGGCAGTGTTTGAAGCTCTGTCCTCTGAGTACCAAAAACCAGCCAGAGGGAAGCACAGGACGAAGAGATACTGCTTCCTTCTGGGTCTTGTTGGTGCCCCCTGGTTTCTGATGGGTTGTAATAATTGAATAAACACCAGTTTATGATAATCTGTTATGAGTCTCCTATCTCTCTGGGTGCTCGGGACAGCCGGGGTTGTAGTGGAGGAGGAGACTGGAGCTGTGGGGTGGTTCTTGAGAAGGACTGCAAGACTCAAATAGGAGTCAGTTGTGCTAGGGACAGGCAAAGCATCCTTTCTCCACTTTGGAAAAGAGGTAGGCAGTCTTAAATCATTGGCCCACCCATACCTAACTCCTCCAGCCTTAGAGCAGAGACTCCTGGCAAGAGAAAAAACACCTCATCCACTCCCTTCCCTCCTATTATGATGGGACTGGGGTGCTCAGCACCAGTTATACCTGTGATACCTGTGCGGGCGAGGGAGGGGCAATTTCCTCTACTCCACAGCACATACCTCCATGCCCCATACCTTCATCCCCTTCACCCCACACACACATTAAACACTGCCAAGACATGCAGAGGGGCCCAAGAAACAGTCCCAGAAAAAGGGCTAAAAGATTCGGGGCACATTGGCATGAAGGGGAGTTTGTACCGCCATCATCCCAACAGACCCGGGGAGCATGGGATCCAAAAAGGAGCCCCTGAATGCAAAGGAATAAAGGCACAGGACCTCTAATGGAGCCTGGGGCTGAGGAACCCAGGAGCCTTCCTCTTCAGCTGGGCTTTTCCATAGGGAGTGATGGACTGACAGCACCCAGAGAACAAAGTCCCATCTAGTCCAACCCCCGGCTCCAAGCAGGACCAGCCCCAACTACATCATCCAAGCCAGGGCTTTGTCTTTAAAACCTGCAAGCAGGGAGAGTCCATGACCTCTCTGGGTAGCCTGTTTCAGTGCTTTACTACCCTCCTCTGGAGAAAATTTTCCCTAATAACCAACCTCAACTTCCCTTGCTGCAACTTGAGCCCATTGCTCCTTGTTCTGTCATGTGCAGGGATCCTAGTTTTCTCAGATTAAAAAAAAAAATTAAATCCGCAAATTTGTTTAAAAAGAAGTGACCCTAAATCCACATTTTTCCTAGATTTAAATGAACCACCACTAATATATAGATATACATATAGTGGTGTTTCATTTTAATCATGGAAACATGTGGGTTTGGAGTTCTTTTTTTAACCAAAAATTGGGTCATTGGTTGTTTTGTTGTTTTGTTTTTTTTAAATCAGAGAAAACCAGGATCCCTGGATCTGCCACCACGGAAACCAGTCCAGCTCCATCCTCTTTGCAAACACCCTGCAGAGAGTTGAAGGCTGCTATTCAATCCCCCTCAGTCTTCCCTTCTGCAAACTAAATCAGCCCAGTTCCCTCAGCCTCTCCTCACCAGTCATGTGCCCCAGCCCCCAACCATTTTTACACCATTTGTACAGTCACCTCCAACTGTACAAATCCTTTGCTGCTCTTGGTCACCCCTAGCTGTGCCTATAAAGCTGCAGCCACAGATGGCAGTGACTCTGTGCTCCTGTCTTCCTCTGATACTTGCATGTGAAGAGGAATGAACAAGAGAAGTAGTTGAAAGTTGATTCCAGCGAGGTTGGGGTGGTGGGGGTAGCACCTTTGCCTGAGCCCGAAGGAGAATGTTAGCACTCGCCGGGGCCAAGAGCTGTTCTGAGAACAAACAGGGAAGGAGCAGCTCTCTTTACACCTGGCCACGGTCCAAGAATGGTTTCTCCTCCCACTTGGCTGCAGCCCTCCCCAAAACATGACCAATCTCCAAGCTGCCTGAGGTGAGGAGGGGCCAGACTACTGCATAAAAAGCCCTGAAAGGTGCTTGGCCTCAGGTACGGGTTCCTTACTCAGCTGATGCTCTAAAACAACTCCAGGACTCCTCACTATGGCATCCTTCAATGCCCACGAGAAGAAATTCATTGTTGAGCTGTGGGCCAAGGTCGATGTGGCCCAATGCGGTGCTGACGCCCTCAGCAGGTAAGTCCAGACCCAGGACATGAGCTGAGCTGGCACCTCCTGGGGAAGCTGCTGCCTCCACAGGGATGTGGCATTCACCAGGTTTGTGTCTCTGCTTGTGTCTCCCTTTGCCTAGGATGCTGATTGTCTACCCCTGGAAGAGGAGGTATTTTGAACATTTTGGAAAAATGTGCAATGCCCACGACATCCTGCACAATTCAAAAGTCCAGGAACATGGCAAGAAGGTGCTGGCCTCCTTTGGGGAAGCCGTGAAGCACCTGGACAACATCAAGGGCCACTTCGCCAACCTGAGCAAGCTGCACTGCGAGAAGTTTCATGTGGATCCCGAGAACTTCAAGGTGAGCGGTGTGCATGGCTTGCTTGCAGGCTGGGATGGATGGGCATTCATGAGAGATCATTCAGGGAGCTGGTAATTAATTAAGAAATGCACATGAAATACCTCCTGGTGCCCCCTGAGACAGGGACTCTCTTTCAGGGGGGGAAGGTATGTTCCAGGTAGGTGGCCAGGAGACTTGGGGCAGTTCAGCCAGAGGCAGGAGATGACAGGAGGCAAAGCACGCCTGAAGGAAGTTTTGTTCAGAGTAATCAGAGTGTGCAGAGTGTGTGGAGATGGAAATATCCATGAAGGCAGCGGAACAGAGAATGAAGAGAGCAGCCCAAGGTGGAGAGGTAGGAGGAGAAGAGAGAGGAAGGGGGTAGGGGTGCAATGCAGTTAATGCAAGCTCTGTCAGGAAGTAAAGCAAAAGCAGAGGAGGGGAGTGAAACCAGGCGGGAAAGGATCAGAGAGGAGATGTCCAACATCATGCCATGCTTTGGAGCTTGCAGTGCCTTAATTTTAGAAAGAGGAAGGTGGACGCAGGTTCCCTTCCTCCGGAGGAAACGTGCTGAATTCAGCTGGTGGCATCAACCCCCACTTTGGGCTCTGTGAGCTCCTCCCCAGGACTGCTGAGCCTCTTCCCCCAGGGCTAATCTCTGCAACGTGTGGGGCGGGAGGTTGCAAATTTGGGCTGACTCCGGGCTCTTTTCTCCTCCTTCTCCTCCCAGCTCCTGGGCGACATCATCATCATTGTCCTGGCTGCCCACCACCCCGATGACTTCAGTATGGAGTGCCACGCCGCCTTCCAGAAGCTGGTGCGCCAGGTGGCTGCTGCCTTGGCTGCTGAATACCACTAAACGTGCCAGAGGGAAGCACACCACAAAAAGATGCTGCTTCCTCCTGGGCACCGCTGGGTGCTCTGTGGGCTCCACTGGGCTGTAATCATCAAATAAAACCCATGCATAACCATCTGTGATGAGTCTCTGGGTGTTTGTGGGGGCTTGGGAGGAACTGGGAGAGGGCTGGTGTGCATGAGGGTCCTGGGCAGCCTGAATGTTGCACTCATTCCCCAGGACAGCGGGAGGGAAGATTCAGACCCGTCACTGCTGAAAGCACATGGGAACACGTGCGGGGATACACACACACATGCAAACACACGCTGCTCATAGAATCAAAAAGGCAGCTAAAGGGGGCATCAGAAAACAACCCAGCAGACAGCAGGTTTGTGCATGGACCTGCTGTTTCAGTCACACATAACAGGCCTATCCCCTCTCACCATCCTTCCCTCCGGAGGAAGCTAAGAGACCCTCTGCCACCCCCTGCTCTCCCTCCAAATGGTGTTGGGATATGAGCATGCTCTAGAAGGTATTTAGCAGGTTGAGGGGCATTCATCTTCTCCCCCCAGTTTTACCCTACAAAACCTACTCATATCACAAGCTCAGCGCTGGAGCTGCAAGACACGGACACTTGCACTGCGCAGGGAGTTGATGTGCTCTCCCCCAGGGCCGGAAAAAAGTGTACATTGCACGGCTACTGCAGAAACAGCACCTCCTGATGAAGGCAAATGCAAAGACATCCAGAAGCCATTCTCCATGGTAGCGGGATGATCCCCTGGTGCCTAGTCTCACAGGAGTCTCCCAACTGGCATCATAATATTAATAACTGGTGGTGAAAAGAGCTGGGGGCTCAAAGTGAGTCTGCCTGCATTCACAACCGTGTTTGTAGGCTAACAGGTATAACAGCTGCGCTTGTGATAAATCGTGGAGGATAGCGGCTCCTTAGCCCTGGACTGCATCCAAGTATGCTATCTCCTCCCATGCAGCCGGGGTCCCTTCCTAGAAAAGACTCAAAACCTGTTACCAAAGATTAGGAGGAGCTGGGGTTAGCATATCTGAGTCCCCGAGGGGGTATTTGGCTATGGGTTCCTTACACGGCTGACACCCCAAACCTGCCCCTTATTTTTTACCATGCTGCAAGGGTCCAGGGAAGAGAAGTCGCTCTTTACTGGCCTGTGGAGCAAGGTTGATATGTCCAGAGGCAGTGCTGAGGCCTTTAGCCTGGAGCATTTCAGGAGCTGGTGCCTTCTGGGGAAGCTGCCGCCTCGTGGGGGATGATGCCTTCAGCTTGCCTGCATTTCTGCTTGCATCTGCCACTTTCTAGGCCAATAGTTACCCACCTTTTTGAGGGCATTTGCAGAGCCCTAAATGCTTTCAAATGGAGGTGCAGACTCCTTTGAGTGGTAAGTGTGGGTATTCACATGCTTTTGATTGATTGTATTCATACCCTTTACACCTAGTTTGCAGACCCCCAGGAGTCCTGGGACCACAGATTGATGGATGCATTCAGCCCTGCATTCAGCCCTGCACTGTCAAGTAACCAGGGGTCAGAGCTGCTTCTGAAAGCAAACAGCAGGGAGAGAAGGAGCTCCTTGCAGGGAGGAATGCATCCAAAACCACTATCTCCTCCCCTGCAGCACGGATCCCGCCCCATTCACAACCCAGGGCCCTGGCAACTAATTAGAAGTGGAGTTTATTGTGTCCTAAGTGCTGAGGGCTGGGGGGGGATTTGCGCTGAGCGATCGGTCCCTTATGCAGCTGCAGCTCCAAAACAACCAGCTCGCTCCTCACCATGGGGCGCTGGACAGCAGAAGAGAAGAGGCTCATTACCAATCTCTGGCGCAAGATCGACGTGGCCGAATGCGGGGCTGATGCCCTTGCCAGGTAGGGCATCCCCGTTGCCAGTTTTAGAGGATGCGCGGCCTGTCTATAGCTGGACTGGATGGGTGAACCTCACTCACCTGGAAGTTTTCGGGGTCCACGTGCAGCTTGTCACAGTGCAGCTTGCTCAGGTTGGAGAACTGGGAATGGACGTTGTCCAGGTCCTTCACAGCCTCCCCGAAGGAGGTGAGCACCTTCTTGCCATGGGCACGCACTTTGGGGTTGTTTATGAAGGCGGTAGGGCTGGAGAGGTTCCCGAAGAGAAGAAAAAACTAATTGGTCCAGGGGTAGATGATCAGCAGCCTAGAAAGAGGGAGACACAAGCAGAGCCTCCACCCTCGAGCTCCCGATCTCCGGGGATCGTGGAAGGTCTGAGCTTTGGGATTGACTCTACACGGACCCTGGTTTGGGGCAGGGAATGGAGAGGCATGTTTAAGGTAAGCAAGCAGAGGGAAGCTGGGGTGCTGGAGGGGGATCATGGCATATCCAAGGCACCCCAATGGTATGGGGGGGTGCAGATTGGAGCATCCCTAAGATTGCAGCCTCAGGGGTGATGCACAGAGTCTAGGATGTGCAGAGAGTGATGGGAAGCAGGAGGATGGAGTGGAGCCGATTAGAAGGGAAAGCAGGGGGTGATGGCAGGGAGGTGATTTAAGCCATGCAAGTGTGTGGAGATGGGAAAGTATGTCAGGAGAAAGGGGATGGAAGGAGAGAGGATGGGACAGGGACTGGAGAGGCACTGGTACACCCGTGGATAACAGAGAGCAGCTCCCTGCAGCACCATGAGGGTTCACAGGGGAATTTGTCAGGGTCATTTGGATGGGGCGGGGGGTTGTCACAGGGACGGTGTCCAGTTTTGAGCCCCCGTACTGCAGACAAATTGGAGAGAGTCCAAGGCAAGGAAAATGGGTCCAGAGGGCAAAGAAAATGGTTTGGGGACTTGTGAAGAGAGACTGAGGGAAATGAGCTGATTTAGTCTGCAGAAGAGAAGACGGAGGGAGATTGAATAGCAGCCTTCAGCTCCCTGCAGGGGGGCTGCAAAGAGGATGGAGCTGGGCTGGTCTCAGTGGTGACAGATGACAGGACAAGGAGCAATGGGCTCAAGCTGCAGCAAAGGAAGTCAAGGTTGAATATTAGGAAAAACTTTCTAGGAAGGTAAAAAAGCACTGGAACAGGTTCCCCAGAGAGGTTGTAGCATCTCCATCCTTGGAGGTTTTGATGACCCGGGTAGACAAAGCCGTGGCTGGGATGATGTAGTTGGGGCTGGTCCTGCTTGGAGCAGGGGGTTGCACTAGATGTGAGCTCCTGAGGAAACAGGGAGAAATGGGGCTGGCAGTCACCTCTCGTCCAAACCACTGCCAGAGGCAGGATCAGCCCTGTCCAAGCCAGCCTACACAAATCCAGTGTCCAACCTCTTAGCAAAACGACCATCAGGCACAACCACAAGGCATAACACCTGACCCAGCCACAGGGAAAGTAGGGCACCACAGAGGCCAGAGTCCTGCTGCTACAAGGCTTGTTCAAATATGCTCCAGAGAGCCAAAGAAGAGGGTCAGGAGATGGCTAGGGGGCCATTATCCCAGCCTCTGTGGCCCACATGGCATCCTACATGTGCTGGCTGAGCCTGAGAGCTTCTCTCCTCTCCACTTCCCTGCAGACGGTCCTCACATGCCTTGCTTCGGTGTTCAGAGTGAAAAGGGGAATAAGCTGCAGTTACAAGGGGAAATATTCCTGTACATCCCCAGTCAGGCCTCAGGCCCTACAAAGCCTCAGACTCCAGGCTCTGTTTGCCCCGAGACCCTCGGGGACCTCCTTTCAGGAGCACCCGAACTCCTGCCCCTAGTGCCAATCTCTGAACACAGTGAAGGGGGGGTGCCAAACAATGCTGACCCACGGCTGTGATTGCTCCCATCTCTTTCAGCTCCTGGGAGACATCATCATCAATGTCCTGGCCTCTCACCAGCCCCGGGAATTTTCCCCTTCCTGCCACACTGCTTTCCGGAAGCTGGTCCAAGAGGTGACCCATGCGCTGGCCTCCGAGTACCACTAAACCAACCGGAGGCATCCGACCTCCTCCCAGGCACAGCTCCTTTGTCAACAGGGCCCCTTGCATTTTGATGGGCTGTACCCATCAAATAAATATTATCCATTGCAATTAGTAACATCTCTCCAGGTCTCTGTGGGTTATTCGGGCCAGGAGGGAGCCAAAGATGCTGAAAGAGCAGGAGCAAGGGGCTGCAAGATGTCTCCTGAGTGGGCAACAATATGATGCACTCTTAGTTTCCTAAGGGTGGCAGAGATGGGAGGTGTGGGCCCATGGAAAGCTGTGTGCTGGTGCAGTCACACCCCCTTTCCTTCCTACATCACCCAAACTTGAAAAACAACTGCCTGGGAAGGGTACCTGGGAAGGGTATAGATGCTTCCTCAGCCTGATGAAGGGTATTTATACCCGAAAGTTTGCTAAGAAGATTTTTTCCAACAATTTGAGTTGGTCTAATAAAAGATATCAGATTTACCCAAAGAATCTTGTCTGCCTATGTCTTTAGACCAACACAGCTACAACCTACATCCCTGGGAAGAGTACCAGCATTTCTAGACAGGCAGTGATAAGAGAGTTACTTGACTTCATGGCTCATTGGCATATCCCTGCTTCCTGCTAATCTCTCCACTGCACAGGTGTTAATGACCCTCTTCCCTTTCTATTGGTCTCGATGTTGCACCATTCACACTACCCTTTTTTGTGATTTAGCCATGCCTGGTAATCTCATTCATTTTTTACATTCATTTTATAGCCCTGGGGAGTGTTTTTAGTTCAAACTAAAACCTTTACTCAGGTGTGGTCATACTAACTCAGGCTTAGAAATGACTGACAATGAAGGATTGAAGGCACTGCCCAGATGCTCAAGAAGGCTTGAGTTTGTTTTCTGAATCAGAAAAAGAGATGCTCAGTTAACTGTAATGACTACAGGACTAATGAGGCTAATGAGGTTCCAGTGAGAGGCAGAGGGCAGCTGCAGGGAAGGTGGGTTAGGGGTAATCAGAAGATAGGGAGAGGGTGCAGTGGGATTATCCATGGGATGGATTCTCAGGTGTCGGGGATGAAGCTGAAGGGAGGTAGGAAATGAAGAGACTGTAGGCTGGAGGAGGAGTGCAGAGGTTTAACGCAGGCCAGGCAGGGATGGGGAGTGAAAGTTCTGTGAAAGTTTCTGGGTAAGAGTGAGGTCTGAGCCAGGGGATTCATCTTTGCAATCCCTGGTTTCCTTTTGTCAATCATGTTTAGGGATTTGCACACCCAACGGTGCTAACATTGCACACCCACTTCAGGGATCTCATGGCATTCTGGTTGAGAATCACTGCCCCAATGAGTTTACAGGTAAAACCCACCACATATCTGGCCTCCAAAGTGACAGCTTCCAGGACAGGAGTTTGTCCAGTTCCAACCTTTTTCTGTGACATGGAGGGGGAAAGGGAAGTTGTAATGAGCAGAAAAATGGAGCAGAGATGGGGATGAAAGGAAGCTGAAGGGAAATGCATTTCCCCTCTCCCTGGTCCTAAAAGATTCCCACTGGTGCTGGCCCTGTTTGCAAGCTGCTCTTCTGATGCCTGCAGGAAGTGATACACAGTGCTAACCATACACAGTGCTAGTCACCATGAAACACAGACCCTAGCTCAGTACTAAATAGTCATGATGCCCAGGCCCCTTTTTATACCCCGATCAGCACAACTCTGTGTTACAATATGCACGTCCCAGTTCTCAATATTGTGCCCTGCTTTGGGATGTGCATTGGCTGGAAAGGGATGTAGACTAAGGGTACCTTCCTCCAGGGGACATGTGTTGAATTTCAGTCCATGCTGGACTCTGGAGATGCATGTGGTGTTTGCACCAGTCTTGCCGTCTGACTCTGGTAGTGTTGGGGATTAGGTGTTGCCAGTCACATCTGGCTTCCTCAGTTCAGAAAGTTGACTCATGCAATCAGGATGGCATCTACTACAACTCGTTGTTATAATAAAAAGATCACAGGCTCTGGTTCATAGTAGCAAATGCTCAGCCAGGTTTATGGTCTGCAAAGAAGCCTGGGCACTAACAATCATGACCAAATGATACACAGCTAGCTTAGAGGCATATGTGATATTAATGTGAAACAAAGCCCCTAGCTCAGTACTAAGTATTTGGGGCTCCCAGTCTCCTTTTTCCCCCCTGATGACCACAACTCCATGTTACAGCATACACGTCTTCTCACTAGTTACAAAAACATCTTTAGGTGCCATCATTCGCATCCAGTTCTCACCAGGTAATGTGACCTTCAAACCAGAGAGGGAAACCTGTTTACCAGGTCACTCGGATCCTGTCTTGGTGCCCTGTACCAGTCTGATCCACTGTTTTCCATCTCTTGGCCTTTGGAAACATCTATGAACCTCCATTTCCACTTAAACCATGAATGATATCCTTAGTTTTGGACAGCAAGACCTATTGCTCCTGCTGTTACTAAGACCTCTGTGTGATTTGTAAATGCATTTAACAGTCATGGTAATTCATACTCTGGGAAGGCCTACACCTCCAGTTAGCTGTTCTTTTTCACACAGACCTGGTGGATATGAAGTACCTATTCCTTAGCTGCAGGGTTCATTGATTCTGTGGGTAATGATGGGTGGAAGTAGAGGTGAACCCGTAGTTAAAAAACAAAGGGTTTTGCCTAACTGAGGAGTGTTTGTGGTTGTTTTATGTGAATTCTGTTAGTGTCAATGAGGAGGACCAGTAATCAAGTTGGAAATTCAGGTAGTAGCAGAGGTACTGCTCCAAGGTCTGGTTTATACCTTCAGCTTAGCTATTTCTCTGGGGATAGAAGGGAGCTGAGAGGCGGGTGCAGACTCGCCATAACCATAAGGCTTTGCAATACCACTGGGAGACAGATCATGATCCTTGGTCAGATGAAATACAAGCTGGGCATCTGTGGAGCTGTACCACATGGTCTAACCATAGGCTGTGTTTTTTTTGTTGTGAA